CACCAATGGAGGAGATGTATTTCTTACTTACAGACTCATGATCACTTCTTAATTAGCCGATACGAGACAATCTTCAACAATATGTTTGGGAGGAAAACCCGAAAAGAGCTAGCGATCAAATAGGGCAAATGAAGAGTTTCCGTTAACAATTCAATCATTTTCTAGATGTTAAAAACTTGATTGTTCAATTTTGAAATCTATAGATTAATTCCAAATCTTTCGTGAACATAACGGTAGATTATCCTATCAGGCATGGCTATCATAGGCAATAGTTGTAGGTATTCGTGAGAGCTAGGGACAAAAAACGAGTTGATGTCGAGTGCATTCCTCAATTTTTTTGTACATAAACTTCTCTTATTATTTAAACGTCTATTTAACTAAAACATGACTTAATGGTAATACAAACATAATTCAATTGATTAAAATTATCTACGTCATCGAACAGATTTTAGGTTAAATGGGTCCATTTGATTGCCAATTTAGGTGATAAATTACTTTCATATGGTTAGGCCTAAAATATCATTTTTATCATCTTGCATGTGATGGGTATTCAACTTTAAGAAGATAGAGAAGGAAAGGATAAGAAAGAAATGATAAGTTTTCACTGTGCACCGTATGATAAAATGTTCATGTATGTGATGTTTAATGTTGTTGTACGGGGATGATTAGGAATTTGCCAACGAACCCCTAATTGTGACCTCTACATGAGATCGTTGAGGGTCTAGATAATACTATAAAACTGACTATAATTTATGTGTACTCTGCAGAGACTATTATGGGATTTGCTAGTTAATTTTCTTTTAGTTAACCTATCAGATCGACGAGGATCTTTGAAGTACTTTTACGAGTTGGCAGAACTAGAGTTGAGCCCTAAAATGCACAAACCCATTAGAACCCTGAAAGCACATTGTGGATGCGGTTAGAGAGCTTCCAACTACTCCCTAATCGTAAACTTGTTCGGATAAGAGAGAGAGGCCATATAGATAGATGATATTGGCTTGATTGAGGGTTACAATGCCAACTAAATCCTTTTAGAGAATTTGAGAACAGTGCCCATAACACAACAATAGGATAAGAACTATGAGTTAGAATATAGACCTCAAGGTTGTGCCTCGAGGGCCTATTGGCAATATGTCTATGATAATGATGATAAGGTTCACAATGATGATGATGATGAAAGATGAATGATGAAAGAGGACTAGTCGAACACTTAACAAGAACCCTTAGAACCCCTAATATTTCATGCATCCTTCTCGGGACTTCTCTAGTCACAATTCAATCGACATTGGTTGGTACCCAACCACCCCTCATCATCCAAATATTCATCGTCATTTAAAATCACGTTTTTCTAACCGTTGAGATCCTGATTGTTTAATTTTGGAATCTAGATACTAATGTCAAACTTCTCGTCATAGACAATAGTAGTTGCTACTGGTAAGAAAGAGGGGAGAAAAACGAGATAAAGCAAAGTTTAATCTTCCATCAGTCTTTCGTACATAGACTAATTGATTACAAATCTGTACCTCAATTATGAGATTTAAAACTTTGAAATTGGAATCTAAAACTAAATTAAACGAAAAAATAAATGGGCGATAATCAAAGAAAAAGGAAGGAAGAGATCATAATTTTTTTTTCTTTTGGTCCGTGAGACGATCAAATTCGTATACGTCAAGGAAGATAATGTTGTAACAAAACACGATCACCGATCGTTAGGCCAGAAAAGTTTGAATTACATTATCCACTTCCTTTGAAGTTTCCGACAGATTTTTCCATTGGGAAATCGCCCATAGATTCAAAATCCACACTACCTTTTCACCTTTTCACTTCGTAATTTACTTTATGTAATTCGAGGGGATTTTTGCCGCACTTTCCATTGTTCTTTCATTGTTATATTATAAAATGATTTTTGATGCCGAATCAGGAACTAATCTGCACTCGGGCTTTGCCGCAAACAACAGGGATCCAAACAATTCGTTGCCTCTTCAACCCTTTCCCTCTGTAAGTGTGCTTGTTTCTTAGCGGCGGCCCACTTCGATTTCTTATCCAGACTTGGTTTCTGTATTTTCGTTTCGTTTTTTGATATGAAGTTTCAAGTTCTTGGCATCTGCTCTTTGTAGGGTTTGTGAATCTCGATTGTTTCTTGATTGTTGTAGTGTTAAATGGCTTCGGATCCGAAGGTTCATCCGTTCGAAGAAGTGGCAAAGCACAACAAAACCAAAGATTGTTGGCTTGTAATCTCTGGGAAGGTTGGATTGGATCTCTCTTAGTTGATTGTTCGTATCATTTTTATTTAGCACAGACTATCAGTTCTGCTATAATTTCTGGGTATTTCTCTTTTGATTGGTAAGAAAAGCATATGGATATGGCTAATGTTCTTAACTCTTGCTAACTCAGTGTTCCCATTGGATATCTGCTACAAGAGTCTGATATAGATGCCAAAGCTTGGGGGTTTCATTGTTTTGTATGCACTTTCACACATTTCTGTTTCAAATTCTCAAATTCAAATATCTTCTCCCGTTTTCTTCATTGCTTAAATTCGTACGCGAGATTCCATACATGCTTTTAATATAGAAGATAATTTAGTCTCATTTCTTTCTGTTCTGTTTCTATTATCTGGATTTGTTTGTATGACTGAAATACATGTTTATGTAGTGTCTTAATGTTTCTGTGCCATAGTCATCTCAAATGGGGAAATAATGGTGGAGAGCTGTTAGGATGTTTATATTATAGTGTGTGAAGGCTATATAAAGGACTGAAATTGACAAAATGATTCATCGTTGGATTCCTCATCGAACGAAACATTCTTTATAAAGGTGTGGAAACCTCTACCTAATAGACGGGTTTTGAAATCGCAAGGCTAACGGCTATACGTAATGGGATGAAGCGGACAATATCAATTAGCGGTGGGCTTGGGTTGTTACAAATGGTATCAGAGCCAGACACCGAGCGCTATGCCAGCGAGGACGTTGGGCCCTCAAGGGAGTGGATTGTGAGATCTCACATTGGTTAGAGAGGAGAACGCAAGATTTCTTATAAGGGTGTGGAAACCTCTCCCTAACAGACGCGGTTTAAAATCGTGAGGTTGACGGTGATCCATAATGGGCCCAAGCGGACAATATGAGTTAGTGGTGGGCTTGGGCTATTACAAATGGTATCAAAGCCAGACACCAAGTGGTGTGCTAGCGAGGACACTGGCCTCCAAGGGTGTGGATTGTGAGATCCCATATTGGTTACGAAACATTCCTTATAAGGGTGTGGAAACCTCTCCCTAACAGACATGTTTTAAAATTGTGAGGCTGACGATGATACGTAACGGGCAAAAGTAGACAATATCAGTTAGCAGTGGGCAGATAAGATATCTCGTTTGTCATATTTGATTTCTCATGTTTGATTGCCTGTGGCCTTTGCTTTAGGTTTATGATGTAACTCCTTTCATGGAGGATCATCCTGGAGGCGATGAAGTATTGTTAGCAGCAACTGGTAATCCTCTGAGTTCCCTTCTAACAAACACTCGATTCCGTTTCCTTGAGTTCTCGTGCAAATGACGATTGCGATGATATGATAACAGTTACTGATTCGAATGTTTTGCAGGAAAAGATGCTACAAATGATTTCGAAGATGTTGGGCACAGCGACTCGGCAAGAGAAATGATGGACAAATATTACATCGGAGAAATCGAGCCATCTACAGTTCCTTTGAGGAAGGTGTACATTCCACCACAACAAACACAGTACAATCCAGATAAGACAGCTGAGTTTGTGATTAAAATCTTGCAGATTTTGGTTCCCATATTTATTTTGGGTTTGGCATTTGCTGTTCGTCACTACACCAAGAATGAATGAATAAGTGATTGAATGAAGCCTGTAGAGGGTAAACTGCTTATTCATAATGATTATGTTTGGTTTGTGTTTTCATGTGGAGGGTTGGTCGTAGACTAGAGTTGTCTGGATCATATGTTATATTCCACTTAATAATAAGTTAGCTAAGTGCCATGTTCTTGTTTTCTTTTTCCATTTTGCATCTTGAAGTTATATGAGAATGTGGATTATATCCGAAAATTACTATTTAACCTTGAAACGATAAGGAATCACTCTAAGGGAAAGTGAGATTTTGATTACCTTGTTGTTTGAATATCTCAAGGCAAGAACACTTGTTTGAGATTCGAATCACTCCATAAGCAAGATTGATCATGTCAAGCTTGAATAATTCTAAACATGCCACTTAAATGATATAGAATTGTAGAGAAACTTAGCCAAGAAAGCACAAATGTTTTTTTTACTACGTTTTTCAAGCCTACTTTAGAAAGATGACATACATGACTTTTTAAAGCCTCAAAATAAAATCTTTCACCTTCCATCAGATATTCCAACAGTGGTACATTAAAGCCTCAAAATAAAACCCTTCACCTTCCATCAGATATTCCAACAGTGGTACATTCATATTTTATGACCATAATTAACTTCATATTTTGTGACCATAATTAACTTCATATTTTGTGACCATAATTAGCTACTATGTAAATGTAATCTTTAAAGTTCTCGGTTTTAGATGGTTATCTATGTTTGCATTGATCGCTTGCTCATCAAACACATTTATTCTCAATTTTCTCATTATTAACGGAACACAAATTGTGTGCCAATCTGAATTATGGTCTGCGTTGAATATGTTGGTCATTGGGTTTCTGGCAGACAAAGATCCAAGCTATATGCTACACTGGACGACCCTTTGAAACATTCATTTCCTTGTTTCATCGCCAATTATTATCGTTTGCATTTTTTGACCCAAGCTTTCACTTGCCACTAAATGGTATGAATCTTACCATGCTATTTGAGACTACAGAGAAATTTCAAAATAGACATTAAATGTAGTCAATTTTCAATCAAGACGAGCTTCAAACAGAAAAGCGAGGCCGGCTACAAACACTTCGTTGGCTGATTGTTAATCTATAATCATGTTGTCTAACATAAATAGAGATGCCTATCAGAACAATACTTTTAACAAAAAGAAAAACGAATAAAGTCAAGTATAAGATATCACACAAACACTATAGGTCAGAAGTTCATATAACTTATACCACAAAGCAAAGCAACATGACTTGTTTGAGACATATGTGAACACAGGAATGGCGAGGTGATAAGTTTTGATACAAAAACAGGCGTTTCCATGAATCATTGGATTCGGTTCTATTCTAAACTGATTCGCCATCGTCTCACCTCGTATATTTCAGACACAAGCCAACTGGTTTTCTTCATCATTTGAATGAATGCCTGCTTGCTATGATGTCTTTAACTTTTGAGGTTTTATAGTATGTGCACTAACCCAAACAGATATTCTAACTTAGGAGCTTTTCATTGTAAGCTGCAGTTCCGACAGCATAACGAATGGCCCCAAGTTCCCACCCTTTTCAGGACCCCAACAGCCAAGACTACCATACCAACAGTTTAGTGAAAACTAGAATGGAAATGAAAATGAAAATGGACCCGTCACTTATTGGAAGGACGTCTCTATCTTGTCGTGTAAAGTTACCACCAAATCGTGTGCACCGTCGAGAAGCTTCCACACATCAAGGTGCCCAGCCATGCTATTACATTCCCTCATTATTTCATCCATGCTATTATACTTCTCTATGATCAGTTTTCTTCTCTGTAGTACTGAAGCAGCTATCGCATAGAGCAGTAAATCATCTGTTGGGGGAGCTCGTTGCCGTATCCGGCTCCATGCAGACTTCCCTATTCCAGCCCTTATGGCTGCCTGATCAGCCCACATAACTTCCCACAGACATAACGTCTGCTCAAATGTCAACTCCCTTCTGAATAGCACCACAACCATCCGATAAACAAAAAAGCAATCCTCGGCCTGAAGTTTCTCCAGGTGCTTGTAAAGGTGCGAGTCCTTGCACCTAATAATCTTGGAGACTATATTTAATTGCCTTCTAATGCCAACCTCATCGAGCCTAAAGTTGTGGCGAGCCTTGTGCATGAAACCAACAAAACACCAGAATGCCTCGTGATCCTCTGAAATCACGGTTATGATAGGAGAGAGTAGATCGCTCATGCCTTGACAATAACCAATTTCAGGGTCATAGAGAGCATATGCTTCAAGAATTGCCACTAGCCTTGCAGCATGGAAAATCATACAAGGTTCTAGATGGTCGTAATCAACTAAACCAACAGCTTCAGCGTACTCCCTAGCTCTGTCATTCGAAGCCATTGCTTGAGATGACAAGTATGGTACCCATTCTGAGTTAGAACGAAGTGCATCAAGTCGAATAATCCGCTGCCATGTTGTAAAATCTTCACTATTAGGTAAGACCTCAGTCCTTGAGGGAGAAGAATTTTCCTTGGCCGTCATATCAAGATAAGGCTCTTCCATTCCATCCGTGGAGGGAAAGGTTTGAGTAACATCCAAGTCATCTGAGGAGTCTGAATCCGACGAATCTGAATTCAGTACCAAAAAACCATCAGATGTTATCCATCTTGAATTCCCCTCCCCTTCCAACAAAGGGCAGAAGGCTTCATCTAAGAATTCAACATTGGAGCACCTTTCTTCACTTGAAATGGACTCTCTAGCACTAACCCCGTCTTCAGAAATAGGATAATCTATGTCTCGGACAAGAAAGCCATTTTCCCCATCAATCATGTCCCTAAATTCATTCCATTTAGAGCTTTCATTCCTACGTTTTATTAACTGCCTGCACTGTTTACGAAGTTTTTCATACTCCTTTCTGCATCAAAAACATTAAAATTGTAAAACAAAATCCGTCATAGATTGATGTCAATGAAGAAAGAGAGAGATCTCTTGTAACAGTCTAAAGTACTGCATAAAGAATCCAGTGTGAATACTAGATGAAAATTTAAAAAGATATAGCAAGTACCTTTTTTGAGTCTTTACAATATCCCTTTCCGTTTTAGAGCTCTTGAGGTCATAGCTGTTAGAAATCATAGGGTCAATCGAATCAAATCAATGCAACAGCAAAAACTAGAAACTCTGTGTTTCAGTATTTGAACCGCAGAAATTCAGAGCTTCAAAAGCAATATAGACAAGAAAATATCGCAATAAGATTGAGCATCAGAACAGGATGGTATAGTTATATGTAGATCAATTTCAGGCTTCAATAAGGCATTATTCAAATGATTTCATAAAAATATTAACATAACTGAAGCAACATATAAAACACAATTTATCCCTAAATAATCTCGCAGCTGGTTGAGTAAATCACTTGAAATGGAATCCCACTAACATTTTGCTGAAGTTTAGGAACTCATATTTACGAGGGCCTAACTTCCCCTTCGTTAATAGTGTCTTTGTTCATGTACATACTACACAGAAATATCCAACATTCATCATACAGCTGAATTAGGAAATTCAAATGAAACAATATTATGAAGTTGAAGCTAAAAGGCAATAAACCAGTGAGGGCTATCTACTTCTTGTCATATATTCCATTCCATGTACAACCAAGTGCAAGTGTATAACAAAGCATTAATCAGACATTTTGAAGTAAACTGCAAGATCCAAGTCTCCTTTTACATATACGTGTTTTCATGAGGCAAGGAAAATGTATTCCCTGTGGTATGGGATAAGACAGGTCAACAAAGCCACCCTAACCATTACTAATGAACAACTCATCCAAGAAAGACACAGATACAAGGTATGTATAGATATTTCATTCTACCAAAATCTTAAGAAATGAACAGGATGATGACACATCATTTTAAAATATTCATATATTTTAATAATCACTTTAAACAATATATTTGTCAAGGCAAGACTCAAACTTTTAGGTTTATGGCTTCGTTGAATCATAAGAGACTTTAGAACAGGCCAGCATTCCAATGAGAAAAGGCTATGATTAATGCTATTATAGAAGAAGCTGGCATTTCCAATGAGAACACACAAAGGTTTGAATTATTTATTCCTCCAATGATGTTGGAAAATAGTTTTTGCTTCTCCTATCCTTCAAAAATATAAAAGTTCACCAAAATGTCTAATGACAGGGGTTATGGTACTTGTAAGTTGTTGTTATTACTTATACTACCAAGGTTCTAAAGAACAAAAAATTTAATGAAAATATTTCATAGATGGTGTGAAATATTACAAGAGAGCTGAGGAAAAGGGTTGCCTTATTCCTTTGTCGTTGTCCTTGTCTCTTAGGTTGTTTTCTTTTTCCTTTTTTTTTAATTTATTTATTTTTTGCTGATCCCTTCTGAATGAAATTCTGTTATATTTCTCATAATATGTGTGTGTGTTAGTGTGTATTACAAGAGTATCCTAAACAAGATTCCTATCACAGAAAACTCAGTAATAGTAATGAGGTTTAGAATGACCTTCTAGAATTTTTACTTATTAAAGTGACAATTGATAGACATTATTTCTCTTTCACGACCTGTTTATACACTTCCACAATTTATAGATTTTAGTTTTTAAAGTCAAGACTCCTCATGCTACCTCAATGCTTATGCTTCATATCCTTGAAAGAGAATCTTTGACCCTCTTGTTAGCCTTTTAAACCATGATTACAACTAATGACCTCGCTTGAATTGGGTAAGATACTTGACATTGCTCGATTAGGTCATCTAATTAAGATTCGTTGACATTGACCCATGGAAATAGCTTGAGTTGTATGAGAAACTTGACAGCGTAAGACATTCTATTTCTCAGAAACAAACTAGTAAAAATTAACAATAATAAGTCACTAACAAACAAATTAACAATTTTAACAGTATTTTGAAGATAATATCAATAAATCAATCAGTTTATAACAGGCTTTTAAAACATTGACCAAAACCCATCGATCCCACTTGAAATGAGGACACTCAACCTTGCTGAATCAGGCCATCTAATTAAGATTGATTAACATCGACCCATAGAAATGGCTTGAGTAGTATAAGATACTAGAAAGTGTAAGATGCATTTTATTGCTCAGAAACAAACTGATGAAAGTTTTAAAAACAAGTCACCAATAAAATTAACACTATTGATAGTATCATGAAGATAATGTCGACAAAATCAATAATTTTAGAACATGCAATCTCATTCACAAGGGAACAGAATAGTTCTACTTCAAACATGTCGGCCATTTATGATGAAGGTAATGGACAGAAACCGAGAGGGTGAGGGAAACTTACACTCCAAGAAGGAAGGGCCAAACCTCCGCCCGAATACTTGGATCAACACCCTAAATCACAAATTGCATGAATTGAGATAATGAAACTTCCACCAGATCTTAAAAGAGCAGTAGACAGTAGAAGATAATTTTGACTTACTCTACTGCGAACTTTTTTTAGAAACTTAATTCCACAATCACGGAGTTTCCCATCTGGATTAAACACATTTTTCCAATGACGAGGTGAAAGTGCATGTTTTCTTTTTCGACGCGACCATGGTGATTTGAGACGATTTCTGAAATCGAAAGGAATGCCACTAAGAAGAAAATTCTAGAAGTCCTTTGGTTGGGACAAAATTCAACTGCAGTTGTTATTAAACCAGACAAGTAACAGAATGTATGGCTTCCTAACAAGAATCAACATTTCAATTCATTGCAGGTTTAATTTTCTTGAATTTTTAAGGTATCAACATGTTGAAATTATCAGCAGTTATCAGGAAATTTAAAAAAAAAAATACATGGCAGCAACTACTGGAACAAATTAAAACAAACCAAAACAAGTAATAACTTAAGTAATCCCTCCCTTAAATCTTGATAAGAGTATCTGAATTCCATCCATCCAAGTCAGAAGGATTGAAGTCATCTGATAATATTTGCAACATAAATTTTAAGGCAAGACAATTATCACCCTTCTGAGTTATGGGGTTGAGAAATTCCAACTTTGCAACGAAATGTTTAAATAAGAATGCATGAACATAATTACAAAACTCCCAATGAGATGCATGACATCAAGATCACAGTAACTTACGGACTCCTCAAGGAAGGATTCCGAGACCCTAACCACGTTTACACGGTAAAGAAGATCCTGTGCCTAACATGCTTATATCCCTTTACTGGGACATTCCATTCCAAAGGTTTCAAACGCAAAAAAGTAAAACAGTTGAATTCTTGTCAAATCCGAATCAAAAGAGGGGTGGAAAGGAGGAAGAAAATACCCTTCAATTTCAAAAAGGAAGAAGAAAACACCCTTCAATGTCAAAAAGGAAAATGTAATCAACTTGATTCATAGAAGGGCTCAACAGACCTATTCAAAATAATCAGCCAGATTTGTAAATGATCAAGACACTCAAAAAATGGTTTGTAACAAGAAGCTATTAATAGCCAAAGTGCACCACGAACACAAAGTTAAAAAAGCTCCTCACAACCATCAAAATTCAACAACCATCGAACAGCTAAAATAAATTGAAAATAGAACCAAAGCAGGAAACGAAATAAATAGCACATGGATCTTCAAGGACACCTTGATCAGACTGAAATTAACCACAAAAAGAAGACAAAAAAAAACAGAGTTTGGCAGATTAAAGATCGAGATCTAAATCGTGAACTAAAACCAGAACCCCAATTAAAGGGCAGCTAAAAGAGTTACTCACCGATCGGAGGAAGAAGTAGAAGATGGCGAAGAGGAGTTGACAACCACTAAAACGGAACGCAAGTGAACCCATGACAAGGAAGGAGGAGAAGAATTGGAGTTGGAATTGGAATTGGAATTGGATGACGACGAAGTTTGAGTTCTCCGCAGAGCTTTCATCGAGTATGAGGGTAAAATCTTTTGTAAATCCTTTTAAAGCCTTCTAACTAGGGTTTTAAATATATCGATGTCTGAGGAGAAAGTCAGTCATGGCATCGATCAAGAAATGGAAGAGCGAAACACGTAGAGGTCCGGGAAGGCGCAGACATTTCCCGGAATCCAAATCGAACGCCGGCACCGGAGAAGGCAGAGGTGATGGCGGAGGCAATGATGAACATGAAGTGGAAATTGAAAAGGAAAAGAAGAGAGCTCCTGTTCTCCTTAAGTCCCAACCAACAGAAACCCAACTGCTTTGATTCCTTCGGCTTCAACCACTTTCCTCTTAACGACAAAACTTCTCTCTCCCTCTCTCCGCTCTTCTCCGTGACACACACAGACACACACACACACACTCTCTCTCTCTTCCAGAGAGAGAAAGATAGAAATTTGTCCGAAATGGGGTGTGACACGGAAACGACGTCGTTATCTCTGAATTATTTAGATATTAAAATAATATGGAAATTGACTGATAAAGGTTTGAATAAATTTGAGTTTTTTGACCAACTTTGAATTATATTGTTTTCTCAACAAATTTCCATAAATAAATTACAAAACCATAATTCAAACTTGTTTCTTCAAAATCAAGCTTTTAAAGCGTCAACCACTAATTTTGGGTCTAAATTAAAAAATTAAAAAATTAAAAAATAAAATAAAATGGAAATTAATTTGGCTTGGCTTGGATTGTGGGAAGAGAATTGGAATCCCCAAAGAAGAGTCAACAAAGTGGATTGCTTTAGCTTTTAAAAGATGAAAAAGAAACAATAGAAAAGAAAAAGGCATTCCCTTTTAGGAAACCCCGCAATTCTTGCTTCTTCCTTCAATTCTCATATCTACTTGAATTATGCTCAAGTTGATACATTCAATCAGTTTAATGCTTTAGAAAGAAGAAAAGAATCAATTTTTAACAACGGGTAAGGTTCGAACCCATGATCAATCACATATACCTTAACTAGTTGAGTTAGACGCGAATATCCTAAAAGAAAGATTGATAGTGATGGCTTAAACAAAATTGAAGGCCAAAAGGGATGTTGGGGAACAATTTAGGACCAAAGCTAGCGCTATATTCTAGTGAGATAGTGACACAACACACTTTGGCAGTGTCTTGTAAATTAAGGCCTCTCCCTAAAGCAAACCAAAACCAATAATAAAAGTGTTCCCTTTTCTTCTGATACCCATCAGCATCATCAACCCCAAGCTCACACTCTTCATATCTCCCCCATGCTCCTACATTCAGTTACCTCAAATCTTTAACGCATTTGTTCAGAATTTATCGACTAATTTAAACAAAAACCATGAACAAACTCCCCCAAAAGTCGTAGCTGATAGACGAGGATCCGATCCGTTCTCATACGTCGTCGAAGACCGAGATCCTCCAGTATGTTTTCTTGACGCCTATTCAATTTGGCGTCCTCTCTTTTCAAGGAATGGGATGGAAAACTCCCACAAACTTACCCCAGGTTCTGATGAACATAAAGAACCTCTTATTCAAATGCATAATAACTTAGATTAGATCAGCTCAGACTCACGTATCTCTTTAACATTAGAGCTTGGAAGCAGCATCCTTGTCCAAGAACCATGTCAAAGCCCATTCAGGAGCAACCCTCTGAACAGGTAATGTTTCAGAATTCTGAGAACTTCCTCCTCCTAGTGCAGTATACACAGCGTCGGCCTTGCTAGCACCAGGCGCTACAAGTGCGATGTATGCCGATGAGTTGATAACTGGGAAGGTAAAAGTGATTCTCTCTGGGGGTGGTTTAGGGGAATCCTTGATGTAGGTAACCCATTTCTGACTTTCATTGAGAAGGGGATGGCCTGGGAATAAAGAAGCCACATGCCCATCTGGGCCCATACCAAGAAGCATAAGATCGAATTTCGGGAACCTGCTTGTTGCTGAGACATCGACCACTTTGGTATTTACCAAATGCTTCAGGCAGGTTTCGTAATCTTCAGCTGCACCCTCAGCAGATAGTGCATCATTAATAGCATAAACATGACCGGGGAGAATTGGCACCTATATAACACAATTACAAAAGAATATATTAACACGAGTGAATGATTCGATTCCCTATTATTAAAGATTAAAAGGCCTCCTTAAACAAATATGCCCAGCTTGATATTTCAGACGTCTAAAGCAGTCACCTTTGCCTTTGAGCAAACTGATTGCCCTGCGGATTTTATTTTAAATAACCATTGATGTTAAGGACCACTTATCCACACCTTGACAAATCCAAAAAAACAATCACAATAATAGTTTGACAAAGAACTCGTTTCTAATGAGATACTTAATATCATAAAATTTTAGGAGTAGGAGTTTTGCTCCCCTTTACCGCCTGTACCTGCCCCAAGGCCCACAACCATGAGACATCAAGAGTCTCTAGTATTAAGCTTACCCGAAGGTTTGAATTTCGGACCTCTAAGCCAGTATGACCAAGAGGCCCCAAGCCCTTAGCAACAGGGCTGCCCCTTGAGGGCCATGGAATTCAAGCTAGTCTGTTAGACCATTGAGATAATCCCCATGGTGGTTGACTGTGCCTGTAGGTCTCTCAATTGTGTAAAAATGGAAAAACAAGATCTTGTTTGATGACCATTCGTTTTTAGTATTCCATTTTTGAAAAATGGGTTTGTTTCCTCCCGATTTCGTTACAATGGTTTTCATTTTTCATAAGGAAAGATCTATATTCCTAGTCAAGTTCCAAAAACGAAAATATTTGTAAGTAGATAACAAAACAAGGAACCTCATCGGTAGAAATAGTGTTTATAAGCTTAAATTTCACAAACAAAAATAAAAAAACTCAAATAGTTATCAAGCACGATCTTATCTTTCACAGAGTTATAATTAGCATTACCCTGCAATAGCCATATGATACAGCTCAAATAACCAGTATAATCTAAGAAAATGGTTTGGAGTTAAACAGATAATTTGACATAGAGGAGTTATTCAAACGTTCTTCCTAGCAGAAACTAATTTGGATTAGCAATCAGTAATTAAACTTCTGCAGAGGTATCTTACCAAAGGAAATAAAAAGAAAGAAACACATTGTAAAAAAAAAAAAAAAAAAAAAAAAAAAA